AAATTAGAACTGCAAGCAAGCGAAATAAAGCTTTACAATAAATTAATAAGTAAGTATGCATTTTAAGGTTATTTATAGGATCTTGACAAAGATGGTCTTTTGGAATTTTATTGCAGGAAAATTGAAATAAAGAGAGAAAAACATTGAAAAGGCTTAAATGTTATAATATATGTATTGTAGCTTAAATGTTATAGTATATGTATTGTAGTTTCCGTGAAATAAAATTCCATATATTGTACATCTTGATCAAATCTCTGAACAGAAATGATACTATATTCGTTGCTTAAGTAATAACTTTTTTATGAAAAAATATATACTTTTATGCTTGAAAAACATATTTCAATTATTTACAAATATCTTTTAACAATGAAAAAACAGTAATAGTAAATTTGTCTACTCTGATCACTTTCAGACGATGATGTTTACAGTAAACAATACATAGAACTCCTGGTAAAAAATGGTTTGCTTAAATTTGATAAGGAAAATCAAGAAATTGTGGAAATATTTCGGATAATCAAAAATAAGTAAGTAAAGATGAAGTCAATTGTATGTCGATTTTTAGTATCAATGTTTCAATATTAATCAAAAATAATTGTATACAATCTCAAACTTCTTCTTGCTAAAATAATCGAAGTCTTATGTAATTCAAATAGAATATACATATCAATAAAAGTAAAAATATAATAAGAATATGTGTTTTATTACAGAGAAAATTTGATATTCCATACAAACTTGGTTAATTTGGACCACAATGATCGAGGGCAGCTATTAACAATGCATAATGAAGAAAACGAAGGTACACATTCAAAATTCGGATCGGAGGAATACGTGACAAAAATTGACAGAAGTTGCGGTAAATAGATTTCATTAGCAATATTAATACTTCATATTAATTGCTCGGTGTTGCAATACCAGTACAATATTATAATAGCATATTATGCAAAATTCATATTGATTTTCAGCTTCGTAATTTTTTTATATTCAGAAAATTTTGCATGAAACGTTTGTTTATATCCACATAGCACACAAAGCCCAAAAGAATTCATTAGTAGATATTCAGTTTTATGTAATTAATTCTGAGTTCATTTTCAGGTGCAAAAAAATCCCTTGTAGAAAAAGAATTCTTTTTGCATTAAATAAATTCAGAATTGGTGACATACATATAACTGACAATGAGTTCTTTTTTCATTCTCTGTGCTATCTGGGTATGTTATTGCAAAGGAAATTCGATTTATTAATATAATATGTCATTAATTATTTCTAATATTATAATTACAAAATATAAAATTACAATATCTAAAAAAATTGTTATTTAGATTTCTGGAGCGATTCAGCAACATCGTTCATGTTGGACAAATTAGAATCATACTTGGCCAATATTGGTCCCATGAAAAGATTTAAAACAAAAAAACAAATGTGGCTACAAATATCAAAAGATATGGCAGAAATGTTGAATGTTTCGAAAACTCCGACACAAATTGAGAACCGATACAAAACTGTTCTTAAGAGGAAAAAAAAGGCAATAGAGAATAACAGTAAATCTGGCAGTTCCAGAGAGGAAGTGCCATTTCTTATACA